TTTTTTTTTTTTTTTTTTTTTTTTTTTTTATGTGGTGCTCAGGATCAAACCCAGTGCCTCACACATGTTAGGCAAGTGCTCTGTCACTGAGCTATAATCCCAGCCCAAAGTTAATTCTTGCAGAGAAAGAAAGTTTGGTGCCACCAGCCTCTTTTATTACTCACTATTGAGTTATGAGGCAACAGAGTGTACAAATTATATCCAAAAATTCTTCATGCTGATTAATAATAAAGAGAAGCAATATGAAGGATTTGGAGAGGGGAAGTATATTGATTCTGTGGTGTTTACACACTGTGTGGTAGTTACACAACACTAAGCACCTGTCAAATCTCAAAAAGTTGAACACAAAAAACAGTGAATTTTATTGTACTAGTAAATATGAATATAAATTTTAAAATCTTTTAGTTCTTCAACCTAATATTCTTGGCATCCATACCTCAAATTTGCCAGGGAGTAATTTATCAATCAAATCTTGTTTGTTTTCTTTGTGATACTAGGATTGAGCCCAGGGGAATTAAACCACTGAGCTACATCCCCAGTCCTTTATTTATTTATTTAGGTGCTGGGGATTTAACCCAGGGGTGCTTTACAGCTGAGCCACATCCCTAGCCCTTTTAATGTTTTGAGACAGGGTCTCACTAAATTACTGAAGCTGGCTTTGAACTCTCTATCCTCCAGCCTCAGCCTCCTGATTCACTGGGATCACAGGCATATGCCACCATTCCTGGCTCAATCAAATCTTTTTTTTTTTTTAAGTTGTACATAACACAATACCTTTATTTCTTTATTTACTTTACGTGGTGCTGAGGATCGAACCCAGTGCCTTACACATATAAGCTCTACCACTGAGCCACAACCCCAGGCCCTCAATCAAATCTTAAAAGGAATTTTTAAAGTACAATTGAAAACTAAGGTATAAATTTAAATGTAAAGATGGCATATTCTCTAAAAATTAATCTTTCCAACCTTCCTTGAGAAATAAAATTCATACAATTTTTCTTCCAATGTTTTACTTAGACTTTCAATGGTGAGAGTATGTTGATATTGAACTAGGAATAGTTAAATTTATATACTTTCTACTAGATGATTGTTTAGATAGAACTTGAGGGTTTTTATTTAATACTTCACTATGTCAACGATGTAACTGGCAACAAATAAATTAAACAATAATTAATACAAACAACGTCACTTCATACTATATTCACAACAATTGACAAATAACACCTTTTGAAAACAATATAATCTATAGATTACACTAACATACACAACATTTTTTGTAGCCCTATATCTATTTCAAGGTCACAGATTTTTAATTCTATGTAGTTTTCAATTTCTAAAAAGTCTTAGAGGATAAAAAAGGTACAGCAATGCTAATTTACATGAGTCAGAATCATGTAATTATTATTCAAAGGAACTTCAGAGATCACCTAGAGTAGAAATTGGTAAACTTTTCCTATAAAGCAGCAGATGGCAAGTATTTTAGGCTTGTGGGCCACATAATCTTTGCTGCAAATTATTTAATCCTGTTGGGCAAAAGCAATTATTAAGAATAAGTAAACAAATGGCAGGAAGGACTGTGTTCCAATCAAACTTCACTGACACATAAAGGTCAGATGGATTTGACTCATAAACCACAGTTTGCTGGAACCCCTTTCATTTATACATAAAGAAACTAAGGGCCAGAAAAGTGAAAAGGCCAAGTATGTTTGTTTGGTATTTTTTCCTTGTTTTGTTTTTTCTTTTTCTTTACTTTTTGTACTAGGGATCGAACCCAGGTGCTTAACCATTGGCCCACGTCCCTAGGCCAGTTCAGAAATGAAAATGCTTTCATTTATATCTTTTATGATCTCAAAGAATATTTTTTATTTGAGGCAAGTCTTACTCAGTTGCTTAGGGCCTTGCTAAGTTGCTGAGGCAGGCTTTGAATTTGCAATCCTCCTGCCTCAGCCTCCTGAACCCACTGGGATTATAGGTATACACCACTGCACTCAGTCCAAATGTGTTATTCTTTTCAAACTACATGTTCAACACAAATATTTTTGCGGGGGAAGAGAGGATAACTGAGGATTAAACCCAGGGCATCTGAACTACATGCCCCGTTCAACACAAACTCTAAAATTATTACATTTTCCATAGGTAAAACACTATTAAGTTCAAAAAAATCAAGTGTAATGATTGCGTATTTTATTAAGGTCAGCAGTAAGATTTATGTAAGTCAGAAAACTGTCCAAACATACATTTATGCACACATACATATCACTGTTATGACTGTGTTCCTCATATGTTAATATTTGTTCTCAGAATACAGGAGGAGTTCAATAAATTGTTATATGAATTCAAAACAAATTTAAATGAATTCAATTATAAGCATATCCATAAGAAAATGTTTTCATTTATATATTTTATGATCTCAAAGAATATATCAGTCATTTCCTAAAAGAGCAATAATTCTGTACCAACAAGCACTTGGGAAAATTTTGAATCAAATCATTAAATAAATGTATTTTTAAAGCATGATATTTCTTCAGATGAGCTGCCATACCTAGTAAATCTGCTCCTTCATCCACATCTCCAATTAGGCCTGAGCCAGCTGAGGACAGTTCTTCAAAGAGAGATTCTGTATTGCGATCAAAAGCTTTGTTCTCTATGCCTTTGGTGGGAGTGCTATGCAACAAAAACAACAAAACCAAATCAACTAATTACAAAAACTTTGATAGTATATTTTTAATACAATGAGCAAAGCAACATAAGAATACCTTACCTATAAGTTACATTTACCATGAAATATAATTTTAAAAGACTTCTCAAAGGTTTCCTAAGAAATTCCCACAAAACTATTCAGAGATAATTGGTAAAGAAAACTATAGCATGTTTCGTTGTGAGATCCCAGGACATCAGCAAAATGAAAGCTATACTGCTCTGTATCAGGTACTGGTTGGTCTAAGTGTCCCATACAGATTATCTATTTCAGGCTCATAATTACTCCACAAAGCAAGTGTTGCTATCACACCAATTTTAGAATATAAAGACTAAAAAGATTAAGGAATTTGCCAAGGTCACTGAGTAAATGAGTGGAAAAACAAAAAAACAGAATTCAAATTCAGGTAGTCTGGTTTTAGAATTCATGATGTTATCTACCATGTTTTATGTTGTCTGGTATAAATTAGCATGGCATTTTAATTTTTCTTTTAAGGACAATATGACAGTATTAAAATTGACCCAAGAACACTATGCCCAAAAAGAGTCTTTCGAAAGTCCTGTCACAAGCAATTATGTATGAAAAAGATGATCAGAGTAAGTCAGGTGCAATGGTACACACTTATAATCCCAATCATGGGAGAAAGAAGGATCACAAGTTCAAAGTCAGCCTTGGCAACTGAGTAAGACCCTAACTCAAAATAAAAAATAAAAGGGGCTGGGGAGAGGCCGAGGTTGTAGCTCAGTGGTGGAGTGCTTGCCTAGTACTGGGTTCGATTCTCAGCACCACATATAAACAAATAAATAAAGGTCCATCAATAACTAATAAAAATTTAAAACAGGGGTGGGGGGAGGCTGGAAAGTCGCTTAGAGGTAGAGCCCCCATGGGTTCAATCCCCAGTATCAAAAACAGAAAGTCAGAGCACCATTTTTATAGTGGCAAAAAGTTGAAACAACCTGTGATTATTAATAGGGTACCAATGAAATAAGTTATGGATATACATATAAAGTCAAAATGTTCAACTCTATGATTAAAAACATTAAAATAGAACTTGTAAAATAAGAAAACCCATTATACAAAGATTTTTAAAAAAAAAACAAACTAAGCTGCAAAATAGTATATACATTATAAGCCATTTTTTGTAGGGGTATGGAGGGAAATGGGAAAGTTTGTTTTTACCTCAATGCTACACTGATAGAAACACTCAGTACAGGATTTCCATTTAATCATGGTGAACTAATAAACACAGTCATTTGCACCCAATTATTCAGAAACCTAAGATGACAGTTAAGAAAGTAGAAAGGTATATACCACCCAAAATGAGAAAGGAAATGGGGGAGTGTGTGTAAAAAAAGGATTAGAGAAGATGAAACGTGAATCAGTTTCCATAAGATAGAAAACAGATGAGCAAACAGTAGAAACTGATGTAACAAACTATAGAAAGCTGAAACCTAAGCTGTCAGGGGGTTTAAGGAGGAGGACAATGTGTTGCCAGAACTCATGAAAGATGTAGGACTTAAAGATACCAGCAACTACAGAGATGAGCATTCAATGGAGAATGTCAAACAGAAGGACAGGAAGACTGCACAAGAAACAATACCAGACTGACCTGTAATCCACCAGAATAAAGGAACCACCTTTCTCAGCACAGTTTGGGCAGTGCTTGGGGTCAAACCCAGGGCTCATGCATGCTGCGTAAGCAATCAACCCCAACCCTTGGAAGTCAAGTTTAAATGTTATAGACAAGAAACCAGAGAATCAATGTTTTTACACAAGTATACACAAAACAGTCACAGAATGCCAGACATTTAAAAAAAACTTTCATGGGGGAGCCAGGCAATCCCGGTGGCTCAGGAGGCTGAGTCAGGAGGATTTTGAGTTCAAAGCCAGCCTCAGCAAAAGCAAGGCATTAAGCAACTCAGTGAGACCCTATCTCTAAATAATAAATACAAAATAGGGTTGGGGATGTGGCTCAGTGGTCAAGTAGTCCTGAGTTCAATCCTCACTACCCACCCCACTCCCACCCCCCATTCCCCCCACCCCCCGCAAAAGAGAAGACTATTATGAAAGAGTCCAAACAAAAGAGTATGGGGACTGGGGCTGAGGCTCAGTGGTAGAGTGCTTGACTCACACATGTTAGGCACTGGGTTTGATCCTCAGCACCAAATAAAAAATAAATAATAAATAAAGATACTGGGTCCATCTGCAGTTGAAAAAATTAAAAATAAAAAAAAAAGAGTATGTGAAGAAGGTGCTAACTCAAACAATGAGGCGGCAGCAGCAACACAGAAAAAAAAAAAAAAATTTCCAGAATAAGTATTGCATCCAAACAAGAACAGTAAGTGGTTTAAGAAGCAACCATTCAAGAACAAGGAAAAACTTGGGGCGAAGGGGAGAAAAAAATCAAGTTTTGCTTGAAATTAAATAAAAAATAGAGGAGATAGAAAAGAGGAAGCAGGAATGATGAGGATCAGTCCAATATGCTTGATATCTACCTAACAAATGTTCTAGAACAGGAGTAAGAAACAAAAATAAGGGGCTGGGGATGTGGCTCAAGTGGAAGTGTGCTCGCCTGGCATGCGCGGGGCGCTGGGTTCGATCCTCAGCACCACATAAAAATAAAAAAAATAAAGATGTTGTGTCCACCGAAAACTAAAAATAAATATTTAAAAAAAATTCTCTCTCTCTCTCTCTCTCTCTCTCTCTCTCTCAAAAAAGAAACAAAAATAAGGAGACATAGAGAATTTCTCATACCTGGGAGATAAGAATTTTCAGGTAAAAGGACTTAGTTTGTATAAGAAGATAAACCAAGTACAGATTAATGATTTTTTTTAAACAATCAAAAACCAAACAATAAGACCTAAAAGTTTCTGAAGAGTATATACAAAGACTTGTGAACCTAAATGGCACCACTTTGAACTCAACATGATAATGAAACCATATCTCTGCAATTCTAAAAAAAAAAAAAAAGTTTTCCTACCTGTAATTCTATATCTAGTCAAACTATGAAACATATCTACAAATGATATTTGTCACAGTTCTCAGTTCTCAAAAAAATTATAGCTCATGCATCCTTTGCCCAGAAAGCTAGTAAGAATAAGCACTGTAGAAATAAAGGCAGAAATCAAGAAGTGGGATGCTTTGGGAGCTAGGAAATAGAGAGAGGTGAAAGAGAATTCCTGGGGTTAATAATGAAGCATATCTCAGAACCAGAGCAAATACCTAAGTCCAGATTGATGAATGGCCAATAGAAGGCCACAGGAGGGAGAGCTCTAGAAAAGATTCTGGGTTTGGTCATAAGGATGTTTATACTTGAGAAATATACGGGGTGGGGGGGGCTGGTACTGTGGCTCAGTGGTAGTGCTTGCCTAGTATGTGTGAGGAACTGGGTTCAATTCTCAGCACCACATAAAAGCTCAGTGGTAGAGCGCCTGCCTACCACATGGGCTCAATCTTCAGCAAATTTAACCTCTAAGACTACAATAATTTCAGAAAAACACAAAGTTGAAAAGAAAGGAAATTAAACTATATTTCATTCTGTGGATAATCTGTGATTAATATTGGTAGTTATTATAATAATAGAAACAATGAGGGGCTAGGGTTGTGGCTCAGTGGTAGAGCACTTGCCTAGCATGTGTGAGGAACTGGGTTCAATTCTCAGCACCATATAAAAAAAAATAAATAAAATAAAGGTACTGTGTCCAACTAAAAAATATTAAAAAAAGAAACAATGAATACTAGCAAAAGTTGAGATAAAATTATAATTCTACAGTATTATTTGACTTTAAAATTTCAGACACTTATTCTACTAAGAACAAAATTTAAGGCTAAGCCAAGAAAATGAGTCTCAAAGTTTGAGGACAGACTGGGCTACTTAGTGAGATCCTAACTCAAAATAAAATAAAAAAGGATTGTGGATGAGTTCCGTGGGAGTGTGTGTAAACATGTGTGAGGACCTAGGTTTAATCCCCACAACTGCAAAAATAAATACATAAATAAATAAATAAAAATTTAAAGAGGTCCAAAATGTCAAAAGTTACAACAGATCCAAGCTATATAAATAAGTAGTTAAATTTATGCTTAGAAGAAGGTGAATTTCTTAACCAGTTTCAGCTGGGGTTGTGACTCAGTGGTAGAATACCTGCCTAGCATGCATGAGGCACTGGTTGTCCACCCCCTGTACCACATAATAAATAAACAAACAAATAAAATAAAGATATTGTGTCCATCTACAACTAAAATATATATTTTTTAGTTGTATATATATGTGTGTGTGTGTGTGTGTGTGTGTATATATATATATATATATATATATATATATATATATATATATATGCCAGTTTCATTTTTACACTGATTTCAGCTCTGTTTTTTGCTAGTTTGGTGATTTTGGATAAGTTACTATACTTTTCTGAGTTTCTTTATCTGTAAAATGAGGATGAAAACATCTACTTCATAAGGTTAGTGAAAATTACAACAGAATTATATAAAATAATGATGAAAACTATTAGTCAACTTTTGTTGAATGGGGTACTTTGCCTGTGATTTTATTTTTTGCAGTACTGAGAGTTGAATGCAGGCAGTCTAACGCTGAGCTACAACTTTTTTATTTTTTTTTATTTTTGAGACAGGGCCTTGCTAAATTGATTAGGCAAAGCCTCAATCTGTGATCCTTCTGCCTCAGCTTCCTAAATCACTGGGATTATAAGGTATGTGCCATAGTACCTGGTTCACTTTGCCAATGATTTAAAGTACATTGGCTCTTTTAGTCCTCATAACTATCTGGGGTATTATTATAATCCCCTTTTACAGATAAAGAAACCTAAAATTCAAATCCAAGGCCAAGATTTGAACTCATACAGTCTTACTCTTAGGCGTATGTTTTTAACTTCTGTAGTGTAATGCACAATGGATTAGCAGAGATTAATAAATGGCATGTATTCTTTTTTTAAAAAAAAATTTACTAGTTGTTGTTGGACCTTTATTTATTTTTATGTGGTGCCGAGTATCAAACCCAGTGCCTCACACAGGCTAGGCAAGTGCTCTACCACTAAGCCACAACCCCAGCCCATAAATGACATGTATTTTTATGGTCATTATTAATTAATTAAAAGATAAAATTTATGGAAGAAATCTGAATATAGTCAATAGCTTCTGACATTTGCGAACATCAACATATTTCAGATAACCTTGATTAAGATGCTACCTAACCATTCTTAACCATTTTCTTCCACCATCAAACAGCCTTCTCCTGTAAAATGACACTGAAATGAGACTATTTTCTTTTAGTAATGGAAATCATTAGTTAAGGAAGGCAAAAGTACTTTCTCTTTTTCCTTATCTGGAGGAAGGAACAAAGGTTGCTCAAATTATTACTTCCTTCAACTCTCTTTTTTGTTTCCTCAAGTGTATAGAAAATACGGAATACCAGGCTGGGGATGTGGTTCAAGCGGTAACACGCTAGTCTGGCATGTGCGGGACGCTGGGTTCGATCCTCAGCACCACAAAAAAATAAAATAAAGATTTTGTGTCCACCAAAAACTGAAAAAATAAATATTAAAAAATTCTCTCTCTCTTATCTCTTAAAAAAAAAAAAAATATGGAATACCTCTTAGTTTTCCTTTCCCACATCTACTATGGTACGAATGTGTCCCCTCCAAAATTTTGGTGTTGCCAATGTGATATTATTAAGAGGTAGTGCCTTTGAGTGATTAGGTCATGAGTGCTCCTCCCTCCTGAATGGATGAAGGCCCTCATAAAAGAGGCTTCACATGGCATTAGGCCAACTTGCCCTTCTGTCTTATGCCATGTGATGACACCACATTCCTCTCCTCCAGAGGATGCAGCAACAAGGTGTCATCTTGGAGGCAAAGAGTAGTCCTCACCAGACAAACAAAACTGCAGCACCTTGTTTTTGAACTTCCTAGCCTTCAAGCTGGAAGAGAATAAATCTCTTTTATAAATCTCTGTTTCTAAATTACTCAGTCTCAGATAGTGTTATAGCAGTACAAAACAAAGACACCATCCATCCCTGTACGCCAAATCCCTGATGCTGCAAGAGTAACATTTCACAGTTTAAACCATGTGTAATGTTCACTTTCAAGAACAGAAATTGGAATATAATACCAATATTTCTTCAGAAAAACATAAACTACTCTTGTCTGGTCACATGCCAAAGAATAGAGTGCTTATGATAAAAGTAAGGAAAAGGAAAGATAAAATGTCTTAATCTGACACTTTCAGTACCTTGAACCTTTGTATCCACTGAGATCTTTGTCCATATCCAATTCAGGAGTGGACTCAATGATTGCTTGAACTTCTGACTTCTCTTCATTTTCAGCAGAGCCTAAAGAAGGACATGACGAAATAAACAAAACGTGTATCATACATGCCTTCATATGCAAATCCTGTTGCTTTTATGGTTGTGAATATATCATTTAAATATTTTTAAAATGCAATCATTTTAAAAATGGGTTCTAGGAAACATAGGGTTAGCCAATGTCATACATTCAGTTAATAGTCAATCTCAGAAATTATTAAGTTTTCATTTGTGTTTCTTGAGGGGACATAGTGTAGTGGTGCAAGGCACTGCTTCCATTTCTATGTAAGGGGTGAAAAATAGAGAAACTAAAGTAACAGATTAACATACTTAGGTAGAGGACATAAAAGGGTTGTCCTCCTGCCTTTTAAGCTCTCTAGCCTCCCAACCCCCAATATCTCTTTCCAAAACTTTATTATCTCTTTAATGTTTATTTACATTAAATATAATGAATTATCTACCATCTTTATATATCTAAAGCAGGCAACACCCCAACACATTCTTCTCATTCCCACATCATCTGAGTTTTACTCAACACTTTGTTGATTAAGAACTAGGGTCACTTACCTGTAGATGCATTTCTAGTTTCTTGGGCTACCTGCACTTCAATATGTTTGCTTATGTCTGACTTATTTGGTGTGTCAGTACCCTTCACAGATCCTTCATTATCTTCCTTTAAGGGAGTATCAGGAGGAATTGCTGCCACATCTGAAGTAGCTATTGATGCTGGAGTGGTAGCTTTAGATCCACCTTGGCTAACATCAGAAAGTTCATCCTACAAATAAAGATAATTGAGGAGGCAATTTTAACTGAATAATTTATTCTAAACCACTTAGAAATCATCTAGGGGCTGGGAGCACAGCTCAGTGGTAGAGTGCATGCTTAGCATGCACAAGGCCCTGGGTGTAAACCCAAGCATTGGGGGAAAAAGAGTTAAGAAACAACTGTACTAGAGAAAGTCCTACCCCCTTAAAAAAAAAAAAAAAAAAAAAGAAAAGAAAAACAGGCAATGAAGAGTCACTGATTACCAATAAATAATCTGTCTAGATCATTTGCAAATAATATTTAAGTAGAACATATTTTTCCAAACATACATGAGATTTTTCTAAACAGAAAACTGAAAACTAAAGATGTATTAGTAATAAAATTATAAAACTACACAATCATTTGTTAATAATACTTTGTAATAGCCGCTCTAAAACAGCAATGAATTCAGCAATGATTCAGGACAGTTTTGTGATCTTAAAACATCCTGCCATCCAAATCACTTAAGTATTTGTCAAAAAGACAGATTCTAAATCCAACTCCCTACTTAATGCACCCAACTTTAACAGTGAGGTCAGGTTATCTGCAATTTTACAAGCAACTCAGGTGATTCATATACTCATTTAAATTTAATATAAACTACTATTCTAAGATCTCCAAATAGAGTTAAAGGGACACGTGTTCATATGAAAATGTATGCAAAATCTATGTACTGTAAATTTTTCTGAAAAAGAATGTACAGTTTTTAACAGATTTTCAAAAAGGTCCAAAATAATGAATTAAAAACTGTCCAATGGATATCAAGAATGATATAATTCTTTTAGAGCAAAGTACAAAGGTCTATGGAGAATAGAACATGACAAAAAGTCTACTTCTAAGCCAGGAATAGTGTAGTCCAGCTACTCAGGAGGCTGAGGCAGAAGAATCAGCTGAGCCTAGAAGTTGAGGGCCAACCTGAGAAACACAATGAGGTACTCTCTCTTAAAGAGGGAAGGAAAAAAAAAAAGTTTTACTACTGCTAAATAAGAACAACGGTAAATTCAATAAATTTACCATTCACTAAATGTATGATCTCAGGTAGATTATACATTCTTTCTATATCTATATTCTGTAATCTGTATCTACTTTATAGGATTATTATAAGTTTTTCTATATACTAGTTTAGCAATGCACTTCATACATACTACATGTTTAAAACGTCAGCTGTTACAATTTCTCATGGTAATTATACTTACATAATTTAACAGTTCCCCTATACCCTATCCCAGCCTTTTTTTTTTTCTTCTTTTTAACTGATGAGAAATGTAGAAAGTTAAAGGACGTAGAAAATTAAAGAACTGGTACATCCAGTGTGGAGTAATCCACTAAGATTCTGAAATATCACTCAGCACAATGGCAAACGCCTGTAATCTCAGCTACTCAGGAGGCTGAAACTGGAAGATCACAAACTTGAGGCCAGCTGGGACAACTTAGAGAGATCTTGTCTCAGAATAAAATAAAAAGGGCTGAGGATGTAACTAAGTGGTGGAACATTTGCCTAGCGTACTGGAGGTCCTGAGTTTAATCCCCAGGAGCAGAGGATAAGGAAAAAAAAAAGATTCTGAAATATTTTAGCTGTATTGGTAAATTTGGGTTCTAACACATGGGTAAAACCGAAGTGTTTGCTTAAGACCCTTGGTTCCAGTACATTCTTGCTATTCTCAACTTTTAAAAATGACTATACTTGCACTTGTACAATAACTGGTCAGCTACGTTATTTTATCAATCATCATTTTGTGTATATCCATGGCAGACAATGATCCATTTACCAAAATAGAATTTCCACTTGGACTTTGAATCTATTAAAAGAAAAATAAAACAATATATCCATTTTAGAGTATAATATCTACTTAAAATGAATTTTCAGTAATACAGTAAAATGCTTGTTACATTAGGAAGAAGTATACATTCTTCAAGAAATAGTTAAAGATGTACATATGCTGTCATTTATAACAGCAAAAAAATCCCAAACAAGTTTATAGAAACAGAGTAGAATGCCGGTTATTAGGAGCAGGGTGGGGAGAGTGGTATGGCAGGGAGGGAGAAATGAGGAGTTACTAACCAAAAGCCAGAAAATTTCACTTGAGCAAGATAATTAAGCTCTAGAGATCTATTGTACAATACTAGACAAAACTGTCAACAATAATATATTGTAGACTTAAAATTTAAAGAGGGTAAAACTCATGTTAGTGGTTCTTATCACAATAAAATACTGCAAACAACCTTAATGATTCAAGATAGGAGAATAAGCAAATTATGATACATTTGTACAACTGAACCCTATGCAGCAATTAAAATTGCGTTGAAGGGGTTAGGGGTGTAGCTCAGTGGTACAGCATTGGCCTAGCATGCACAAAACCTTGGGTTCCATCCCCAGCACCACAAACACACACAAAAAGAAAGTTCTGCAAATACAACATGGATTAATACATTTTTATAAAGCATCATCAACTAAAATAATATATTAGAATATAAAACAATATAAGAAATATGGTCCCAAAGATTCTTTTGTTTTGTGCAATACTGGGGTTTGAAGAAGGGCACTCTACCACTGAATTATACTGGTAATAGGGGAGAATTTTCAAGAGTCAACAAAGAATGGAAACTTCAGACTTACAGCATATACTAAGAGTAGTAAATCTATATATGAATATATACCATAAATAAAATACAAAATATCAAAGATGTCTACTGCTAAGGTCTGAATGTTTGTCTGTCCTCCCCAAATTCATATATTGAAACTTCAACATCATAATGTAAGGAGTGAGACCTTTGAGAGATGCTTAGATCTTGAGGCTAGAGCCCTCATGAGTACAAATATAATACCCCTATAAAGGACACCCCAGAGACAGTCTTAATCCTTCTACCGTGTACAGACAAAGCAAAAAGGTGCCATCTGAGAACCAGGAACTGTGCCCTCTGCAGACACTGAATCTGCCAGTATTGATCATAGACCTCCCAGTCTCCTATATCCCCAGCTCTTTTTTATTGAGACAAGGTCTCAAGTTGATGAGGCAGGCCTTGATTGCCTCAACCTTCCAAGTTGCTGACTAAGATTACAGGCCATAAGCCATCACTCCTGGCTCTTGGTCCCAAAGTTTTTTTAAAAGCATGTAAATCAACTAAGCATAGGGAATAAAATTTACTTTCTTTTTGTGACACTTTTTAGCTTTTCTGAAATTTTTTAATAGGCAACTGGTACTTTAAGGGGAAAAAGTAAATACATTCTAAACAAATTCAAATGAATAGAACTACATGAACTTTTCTTCAATTTGAGATAAAGTTTTGAGGGGGAAAAGCATTCATACTTATTTATACTTTTTATGAATAAAGAAAGCATTTTTAATGGCTTGCATTTTAGATTAACTTTGTGATCATCTGTCATCTTAATTACAATACTAACCATATGCTAATAAAGTTAGCTAAATTATACAATTATTTTCTTCTGTAGATCTCAAACACTGGACTTAATTCCAGTGAAAAGATAGACGATTCAAAGAAAGAAATAGTTTAATTCTCCATCATCTCCACCTTCCTTAAGTTAAAACATAAAACTGCTATTTCCTTGAGCTGATGATTGGCACCTAATATACGACACACAGAAGGAAGCCCTGAACTTAATCCCCCACATGGCAAAACAAAATAAACAAACAACAATAACAACAAAACCGTACTAAGTCAAGCAAATTATCTTGTTTAGAATTGAGTCATAAACTTTGATAATAATGTTTCTGGAGCCAAAGAGGACTATAGAAAAGACAAGTAACTATAAGCCACCACCATCCCAGAATGACTCTTTGTCTTTGCTTTGATATGCACTCAATAAAAAATAAAAGTCCCGTATGGTGTGGTGATACACGTTTGTAATCCTAGCAGCTCAGGAGGCTGAGGCAGGAGGATTACAGTTCAAGGCCAGCTTCAGCAATTTAGCAAGACTATAAGCAATCCAATGAGACCCTTTCTCAAAATAAAAAATAAAAAGGGTTTGTTTCAGGGGTTGAGTGCCCCTGGTACCAAAAGAAAAGGGGAGGGTGGTGGATATTATTTGGTTCATCTAACAGCCTGGCTAATTCATATTTGTGTTATCATATACATGAATTCCCATCCTTCAAAGGTTCAGAATGTAACACGTTTAAGAATATAAAACTCCATAGTCCTAATGAAAGCTCTCAAATCCATCAAGACTGTGGATTCAGAAAGTGTTATAGAATATCAAGTTCATCTATACTAAGAAAATGATATGCCTTTGAAACTATTTGAAAAAAAAAATAATTTGAGGTCAGTCTTGGACTTGACATTTCCCACTTAAATAAAAGTAGAGAAAATATTTCTTCTTTATCCTTACCATTCCAGCCATCAACACACTTCTTCCAAAGCCTGGTCATTGTCATCTTAAATTTTTTAATTAATAATTAAAGAGTTAACAATATAAACTCATGGGCAAAAGCCCACTTTCCCAAATTCATTTATGAACCTGAATGCATGAAGTAAAAAGAGCCAGGAGAAAGGTGAACCTAAAACAGGAAAAGGACTATAATATCTCAGGGATCCAAAGATTTCAGGCTAGAAGGAAGTCGAAAATTAAGATCTCAAAAGAAAATGATATCCTAGGCTATCTGAATAACAAGATTTATGTATCAGTAATCTACTTCCACTTTTTACGTTTGCTGCACAAAAAGATTTTATGCTCTTTAAAACAAAGTCACTTCTGACAACTAGATCCCAGGGATGTAGCATGAGAAAGAAAAGCTCTGTATTTTAGGCAGATAGTTGTCAAGAGGTACTTATTTCTCCTCGGTCTCCCAGGCAGTGGTGATATAATACTCCCAAGATTATACTTAAACATAGTCTTTGCTATAGCGTTTGGGCAGGGGCATGACATTCTTGTATTGTGTCTCCAACTAAAGACAGAATGAAAGCAACAAGCCCAAATACCTATGGCTAACATGTGGCTCTGTGGTAGAGCACATA